GGATGAATCAGGCAAGTATAGAACATTTCCTCTCTTCGAGATGTTTTAAAAAAAATGTGAATATGTGTGGAGATTTATTTTTAATGTAACCATTCCTGCAGCATTTGTAAGGCTCATGGTTGGCAAGCAGATAACTTGAAATCAGAAGCCTGAAGGAAGTGGAATATGTGTGCTCAGCATTAGAATTGATGGTGGAAAACTCTTGGGAGGGTTTAACTTTCACTGCCTGTATTACTTTATAGGACATTGAACTGGTTAAATAACCTCTGATAGAATGTCACAATCCTATAAATTCTGTAAGTGTTTTAAAATGTCAAGTATGTGAATCATGAAATTTCCCTGCAAGAGCAGTTTGCATTGGTATGCTAGTTTAACATTAATTATGGAATGTATCAGGGGATTGTAGGCTAAAAATGAAACTTGATATTTAGAGTTTTTTGCTTTCTTTGTGAAGTGTGCTAGCAATCTCTAACGATAATAGTACTTAAAATAGCATTTCTAAGGATGATTCTGAATCCAAAAAAGATGTTGTACTTTCCATTCCTTTTATAAAAAATTTTAATTTTTATGGGTACATAATAGTTGTATATCTTTATAGGGTGCATGTGATGTTTTGATACAGGCATACAATGTGAATTAATCAACTCAGGATAATTGGGGTATCCATCACCTCAGGCATTTATCATTTTTTTGTGTTAAGAATGTTCCAGTTCCACTGTTTAAGTTGCTTTTAAGTATACCCTAACTTTTTTTTTTTGGAGACAGAGTCTCACTCTGTTGCCTGGGCTAGAGTGCCATGGCGTCAGCCTGGCTCACAACAACCTCAAATTCCTGGTCTCAAGTGATCCTCCTGCCTCAGCCTCCCAAGTAGCTGGGACTACAGGTGTGCACCACGACATCCGGCTAATTTTTTCTATTTTTTAGTAGAGACAGGGTCTCGCTTTTGCTCAGGCTGGTCTCGAACTCCTGACCAAGTGATCCCCTCTCCTCGGCCTCCCAGAGTGCTTGGATTACAAGCGTGAGCCACTGCCCCTGGCCTGAAGTATACTCTTAACTTACTATTGATTATAGTCACTTTGTTGTGCTATCAAATGTTGTTCATTCTATGTAACTATCTAACTATATTGTTGTACTCATTAACCATCCACACTTTATCCCCCACTTCCCGCTACCCTTCCCAGCCTCTAGTAAATCTTCATTCTACTCTGTCTCCATGAGATTAATTGTTTTTAATATTTAGCTCCCACATATGAGTGAGAACATTTGAGATTTGTCTTTCTGTGCTTAGCTTATTTTACTTAACATAATGTTCTCCATCCAGTTCCATCCTCGTTATTGCAAATGGCATGATTTCATTCTTCCATTCCTTTTCTATTAAGACTTTGCTACAAGATTTTCTTCTTACCAGTAGTGTCGAGAGTGCTACTTATGATACAAATAAAACTACTTTTCAGTTTCCTTATTTTCAGCCATGCTTAGGTTTTACATTTTTTTTTTTTTTATTGTGCCTATGATGTGTTTATGAAGACAGTCGGGTGATTAAAACAATGGGGAGGTAACCTATCAAGGAAGGGCTCCATTATGCTACTCGTGGAGGAGAGCTGGTCTGGGGCATAGAGGCTAATGCTGAATCGGTTAATACTGTTTTTTGTGTTTTGGGAAAAGTAAACAAAAATACTTCTGTTTACAGAATTAGATGAAACAATATAAATCTAAACACAATTCTCTTACCTTAGTTGGGCAGCCCACTGAGTCCATAGATATGTCATTAACTCATTTCTTCCCTGTACTTCTCAGAGGTTGAGGGTGCTTCTCTCCTTGTCTCAGTGTTACTTAATGTTTTCCCTCCCTGGATAAACCCTCCACAATTAATCCCCTTTGTTTCTGATGGCGGAAATTTTTCAAAGGGTAATCTTTATTTTTTTTCCTTCAGTGCTCTACCTATAAAAGTTTAGATTATATAAACCTGAAAAAAATGAAGGACCTTCACAAGTATGGATCCATATACAGTTACCCTTTGGGTCTTTGCCTAATGGGTTCCTCTCTAGTCTATCTGTTTCACTTTTAGGAAGTTTGAGTTATGATGATGTTATCATGTTGGAAAAGTACATTTCTAAAAACATAATAGATCTTAGTATACATTTTTGATAGCAAATTAAGATACTAAAATAGCTCAACCAGTGGAAGCTTAACTCGTTTTAGGAGAGAGTGTGTCTTCAGATTGTTCCTAAAGATCCAAGGAGAAAGAATGCTTTAATCTTTGAAGTCATAATAGTGTCCTTGTCCTTTCAATGGGAATGTCTTAACTTATTTTAAGATATTCCTTTTCTATCTCTTAATGGTTTGCAGTATACTGAGTATACAGATCACTTTGTTGAGTGTGGTTCTGAGGGGAAGTAGGGCAGTTCTTGGAGATTGTTTTCCTATTGGTTTGGCAAGTTTTTCCCTTTCAGAGCATAAGCATGAATAATGGAATTTTTAAATCAGTTTTATTAAGGAATAACTGACATATTGGTGACCTCTGCTCTCTTGCACACTGCTGCCAGGTTGTTCTTTCTGAAATGCATCTTTGATCACTTTTACTTCCTCACTGACAACTTGCAGTGGCTTCACATTGTAGTCAGACAGGCCCTCCATGGCCATAACCCAGTTCCAGCCGGCCTTTCTTACTGCCCTCTTCTGCTGCTCATATACTTTTTATGTCATTCCAGCCCTTTTCAACTGGGGTTGCACAGGAGAATTCAGCCTTGAGAACTTAAAGCGTATGTTGTATGTAATGAATCAGTTTGTGTCCTGGGCTTCTAGTATGGTACCAGCTATGTATCTTCCCATGGGGGAATTGAGAATGCGGTCAGTCAAATAATTTTTTTTTTTTTTTTTTTTTGAGACAGAGTCTCACTGTGTTGCCCAGGCTAGAG